CCTTGCAGCCTTTGCCTCCCAGGCGGTTCCCTGCCGAGGAGAGGAGAGTTGTCTTCCCCGACGGCTGCTCGGCGCCGGCTCCTCGGCGTGCTGGCTGTGCGCCGGCATGCGTTCGCTGGCGTGCTTTTCCATGGGGGATTGCACAGAAAGGGTGGGTGTTGACTGCTCCGGTGGCCGGCTGCGCCGAGGGTGGTGGACCTGGGAGAGGATCCATCCCTGCGGTGAAGGTGAGCGTGCAGCCGCTTTGCTGGCCACCGAGCTCTTGCCTGAATAACTGAGCCCTTTTTCTCCCTCCCGTAGGTTTTCGGCAATATCAAACTAGATGAGGAAAGCCACATTAACCGGCACAACAACTTCCGCAGCTTCCTGGGGTCCCTCATGCTCCTCTTTAGGTAAGCAACCATAGAAAACTCCTGTGGCAGCGTTTTTGGGTGCAGGTGTGCCAGGAGCCGGGCTGGGCAGGTTCTCGCTGCAGGCTGTTTGTTTGGTGGAGGTCAGCTTTTGGTGCTAGAGAGCAGCTGGGCAACACATGGCCTCAGGAGCTCAGGAACCCCTTTTTTCCCCCCCACTCTGCCCCAAAAAGGATGTCTGTCTCCCAGCTCTTTGGACTAGCTGGCTGGGGGGAGCTGGCCCTGTGTGCCAAGGAGCTACATCCTGGCATGGCTGCACTTGCGTGGGTCCAGCTCGGTTGCTGCTGACCCAGTGCCTTGCTCCTCTGCACGCCAGAGACGTGCTTGATTTGGGTGGGGGGTTGCATTTGTGAAGCTTCTCCTGGGGGCATCCTGCTGCCGGCCCCATCCCGTGCCACCACGAACTGCTGAGCACAGCTGTGCTGGGTGCAGGAGTGCCACGGGAGAGGCATGGCAGGAGATCATGCTGTCCTGCCTGGAGGGCAAAGGCTGCGAGCCGGACACGACGGCGACGTCCGGGCAGAACGAGAACGAGCGCTGCGGCACCGACCTGGCCTATGTTTACTTTGTCTCCTTCATCTTCTTCTGCTCTTTTCTGGTGAGTTCCTCCTCCCTGAGAGCCCTGGGGGTCTCTCTCATCAGCCCCCCAACCTGTACCCCCACCATAGGGTCATCTCTGCTCCCTCTCCCCCTACTTTCCTTTCTCTCTGCCTTTTTCCCTCTCACTTAGATGCTCAACCTGTTCGTGGCGGTCATCATGGACAATTTCGAATACCTAACTCGGGATTCCTCCATCCTGGGACCTCACCATCTAGATGAGTTTGTCCGGATCTGGGCAGAGTATGACAGAGCAGCGTGGTATGTAGCCAGCTCCTTCTCTCCCGAGCAACCTCTCAGAGCTGGTTTTAAACAGGCGTCTCTGTGTTCTGCTGTTGGAAACGGGCTGAGATGCCTGGGACGGTCAGGGAAGGGCTGCTCTCGCTGGCGGTTCCTGCAATGCCTGGTGGCACAGGCATCTTGGGTGATGTTCACGGTTTGCCATGGTGTTTATCCTGAGTGCTGGAGGTTCCTGCTCTCTCTCTCCTTCCCAGACAGCAGGCAGGTCCTTCTTGGCCTCCTTCCCTGTCCCCATGCACCAGCTGGGTGCCTCTGCCCTGAGACCGGCTCCATCACCTGATCCCCAGCACCCACAGCTCCCCATCAGAGCAGGGCTGAGCGTGGCTTGTTCCCAGCCATGGGGAGATGCTGGGGGTCTGCGAGGCTCCTGCCAAGTCACCTACAGAAGACCCTGTTTGGAGCATGTTTGGGGAATTGTGTTCCTATGCTGGCCAGCCTGCTCACCCCTCCAGAGATGGGAGGACTTTGTTTCCTGCACTCATGCCTTTGCTGATGAGGATCAGAGTGAACAGGGCTCCCGTTTGCAGGCAGCAGCCCGTTCCTGGCAATGGAACGGGGTCACAGCAGCCAAAAAAACTGCTGCTGCTGCTGCAGAGGGGCTGCCCGCCGCCGCTCCTCCCGGGATGGTCTGGAGCCATGCCTAGGGCAGTGTGGAGAACCTTGGCAGCTCTGGGAGCATGTTTGCCCTCCACTCGTTCCCGTGAGGATGCCTTATGTGGCTCCTTCCTCCCTGCCCCAGCCCAAGGACAGCTTCTTTGGAGCCATGACCCACCACCACTGCGCCAGGGAGCGTGGGCGATCTTAGCTTGAGAGCCCTTGGCAGCCACACGTGCTCCCTTGGGAGGCTCCTCACCTCTACTGCTAATGTCCTGCCCCTCGAGAGACCAGCTCCAGCCAGGATATTTTTTTATGCCTAATATCATCAGCTCCTGGCATAGTTTCCTTCACCATTTCTGTCCAACCCCATGCAGCTCAGTGCTGGCCAGGTTCCTCCCTGCACGGCCTCCTCCAGCACTCTTGCTGCTGTGCAAGGTCCCTGTGGGCAGGTGGACCCGGTGGGTGATGGTGCCTCGTGCAAGGAGGGAGAGGCCAGTACGGGTGAGTAGATGTCCTGATGGACGACTAGGGAAGGGAAAGGAGGTGAGAGCAGTGAAACACCCAGCTGCTCGGTGTGGGGCTTCTCACCCGTGGCTTTTGGGAAGGATTTCTTCACACCAGGCATTTCATTCACTCTCGCCGCCCGTGTCGGTAGCCTGGGTCTCCAGGACAATCACTGAAAAAGCGCCTGAGCTATCCTATCGATGCCATGCACCCCTCTGATTTCTGAGCAAGCCATGCTTTTTCATCATGAAGTGCAGCCAGTGGTTAGGGGTCATGCACAGGGGCTGCTGACGCTGCGCCCGTGGGGGCAGCCCTGGCCCCCACTGCTGGGTGAGGAACGGGTGAGTACATCCAAAGGGGTCCCAGCACCTGAGTGGGGCAGCAGTTCTGCATCCTGACACCGGCACCATCACATGAAGGCCTTGCAGGGAGACTGCCCAACACCAGGGGGGTTCAGGGTGGGTTTTGCCCCGATGGTTGGAGAAACCAGAGGCAAAGGTGCTGGGTAGGACGGTAACACTGATCTTTGCCTCTGTGTGTGGTTTCCCTCCAAGCTTGTCTAAGGATGCCCAGGAGGCTGCAGCACACTGCACCTCAGCACTTCCACCCCACATGGTCCTGCTTCCCGAAGGGCTCTGCTCTGGAGCGAGGTGGAGAGCTCAGCACCCGATGGCCCCTGCACCCTCTCCTGCCAGCTCTCCACCTCGACGGCTTCGTTATTTCAGCCGGTGCAGGAGGCATACGGGTCGTATCCTGTGATGACTGCACCTGGGGCTGGGGAGATGTGCTTCTGTGGCCGAGAAGGGGTGTGTGTATGGGAGGGTTCGCTTCCAATAATGTGTACCTTTGGCAGAGCGTGGTCTGGTGGTCAGAGCACAGGACTGGACCGTGAGAGACCTAGGCGCTAGGTCCAGAGCCACCGGTCACCAGCTGGTCACATTATCTCTCCCCATCTCAGGTTCCTCAGATCTTGGAGATCCAAGTTGCTCAGTTGCCAAACTCCTTGGGACCTTGTGAGGACCAGAGAGTTGGTTGTGCAAGGGCAGCGTCTCTGGTGATGTGATGGGACACAACTCCATCAAAAGGGCTCGTGGTGGCTAGAACCCAACCAAGCTGCAGTCTCATCCCGCCTAAAATCCCAGCCCTCTCCCACCAGGGGTAGGCAGCCAGGGGCGTGATGAGGAAGAGTGATGGGTGGTGTTCACCACCAAAACTGTCCTTCTCCAGGGTCAAGATGGGTCAGTGTGAGGAGGTGTGAGCTGACTCACGGTGGAGAAGGCAGTAGCTGATGCTCACAGCTTTCCCCACTCTGGGTCTGACAGAGCCAGAAGGAGAAGAGCTGTGCACCCCCGGGGGTCTTGCCCCACAGAGGGCCCCAGCATCCCCCCGTTAAGCTCTCCATCCTCCCCTCCACCCTCTCAGTGTCCTATTAACCCACCTGTGCTTCCTTTGCAGCGGCAGGATCTCGTATAAGGATATGTACAAATTAGTACGGGTGATCTCGCCTCCTCTGGGCCTAGGAGAGAACTGCCCCTACAGGGTGGCGTGCAAGGTTTGCCTCCCAGTCCTCCGCCACAACCTGGCCACGGGACGC